TTAACTCGATAGTTCAAGAGTGAGCGCAGCGAACGAGTGAGATGTCGAGTTGAACACGAGAATAGAAATTCCATATCTACAAGCAACCATGTTATCTACCATATCTACAAGCAACCATTTATCATATAAACACAATAGCCCTTTACTGAGAAGAAAAGTCGACTTCATTAGTAAATAAAAATAAATGAATCCATAATCTTCGAATAACAATCGTAGAGTGCGTTGGCGCTTTCTTGCCTAACAAAATATAAAACTGAGAAGATACGTGAAAAATGAGTTGATTCATGGTCATGATCGTCATCTTAAAATACCATCAGAACTTAGAAATTTCGCAAAAGGATTGATAAACCTGAAAAATGAAGATGATCAATGTTTTCAATGTTGCCATATCAGACATTTAAATGCACAAGGATCAGTCACTTTAAAAACGCCGGCATATGTAGGTATGTGTATTCTTGATCTTTCCTAGACGTTAACGTACGATTCTCGTTATAATTGTATTGTAAAGAAGTTTGGTGATAAAGCAAAATTATTATTCACAGACATAGTCTCGCTGACATATGAAATTGAAATTGAAGATGTTTATCAAGATTTTTGGAATGATGAGAATAAATTTGACAATAGCGACTATCCTGAAAAGTCCATATTTTGATAAAGCAAACAAAAATGTAATAGGCAAGTTAAAAGACGATACTTCTAGTATAGCAATTACTCAATTCGTTAGCTTTAGATCAAAATGTACTCTTATAAAAACGATAATGAGAAAAGTGATAGAACAGCTGAAGGAATAAAAAATTGTCATAAAGAAGACTATAAAAATGTATTAACAAACAAACAAATGCATCATAAAATGAAAACCATTGGGAGCAACGATCATCAACTTACAAGTTATGAACTAAATAAATTGTCACTCAGCTGCTTTGATGATAAACGATACATTCATTTAGATAGTATAACATCAAGTACGCTTCTAGACGTTACAAAATACAAAACTGAAATAATAAAAACAATAATGTTACACCAAAGTTGTGGTATAACATTAAACAACTTCCGCAAGCACCGTTCATTTCATGTGTCTATAGAGCTACCACTTCTCTAATCTTCCCAACTCTCCAGTGATGAAGAGATTTGGATGGGTCTCGGCATCTTCAATCTGAAGACAAACTTCACTGACAAACGTTTCTGGTAATCTTTCTTTAAAAATCAGCTTTTAATCGGTACCTCACGCTGACTCGTAATGAGTGCAGTCCCTTGCATGGTTTCCTTTTCAGACACCACGCCGTGGTTCAGAAGTTTTTATGTGCGGGCTGTAATGCTTGCTTTGTCGGTCAAACCTCTCGGAATTTATTCACACGTGTGCGTGTGCACTCGATCAGTGATAGGACCTCTCACAATTTCAGACATTTACCAAATTCTCAACAATGTTGTACTCTATGTTCTGATGAGTGTTTTAGCATCTTAGATCGTATTTATTTCCGCACTCCACGAGGCTCCGTTTCCGCACGCATTTTCGAATTCTGACCGTCCTCCACCAAATCCGATTCTCGAATCAGGGAAGTTGCAATCTCCTTCTTGATCAGCGATGATTCCGATTCGAACTCCCGAGGTTATTTGTCTTAGGGAAAAACCTATTGAAATTTTTACACGAAAGTGTTTTTTTCCTTTTTTTCAGGCGCAATCCTGTAGCAGCGTCGAGAAAGTTGATGCAGGTTTTTTTCCCTTTGTTTCTGCGCTTCTTGCCTTGCATAAATCGTTTTTTTCTTTGATTAATTTTCTTGCAAAAAATTTTCTGTGTCTTTGCCACCCTCTCTCGCCCCACAAATTTAGCGATTGTTCTTTACAGGAACGTGGCCGCTGCCCTGAAGAGATCACGAGAACAACTTGTTGTGACGTTATTCGTTAGAGGTAGATCCAGCCTTCACATTACGTTTCCTGATTATTGTTTACATCTGGTTTCCTTATCGCTCTGACGAAGGGCTAACGCTCGAAACATCAACTTTTAAACTCTATACGGTGGGTAATTTACGTTATCAACTCAGTTGACAATACGAAATTGCTCTGTTATACTCTCTCACAACGCAGCACCACAGTTTCACCACCGTTTTGTCCTGAAAAAAGTACCAGAACATATTTTGAATGATTGGCTTACAATAACGGAGGCTATGGAAAAAAATTAAGAGTAAAAATCGGTGAAAATAATTTCGAATGCCGTTTCGATGACTCGTCCATCATTTTCAAATTCTAGAATTCCGACTTCTGTGAGTTGTGATAAACTAAGAATGCATGTGAAATGTCGTGGGAAATCTGAATTATGAATTTTCGAAATGGCCTAATGATAAACTTTAATGTAACCGAAATTCAAAACCGTGAGACAAATATAAAGCAGCTAAGGAAATGCTGAAACTAATGAAACGATTATTCTAAAACCTTACCCAGTGTTCAGCAGGATGACTTCCTCAAGATCTGACTACTTTTCCATCATTTTTTTGAAAATTCTCTTTCTCTGGCTTACCTGCAGCAGCACCAATGGCGAGATGAACCACAAAGATGAGTGCACAAAGATTCATAGCTGTCATTTTACTGTCTTGAGTATCTCCAGAAACGTGGATGCCCACGATCAAAAAACACAAGAACAGGAGAGCCATGCGATAGCGGACCGGCGAGAGAGCAAATCACTGAGTGAAACAGCAAGGATCAAAATGCACCAATCAGAGCTGTCGAAAAACAGCTAATCACAGTAGAGCATCATGCTTTATAACATCACGCATGACCAGTCGACCTCATCGCCTGAAGAAGACTAGCAGTATGCAGTCGAATCGTCGCGATCTACATCATACGTGACAACATCGTGAGACAAACGACTTTTATTGTTATTCACTACGATGAATAACCACAACCTTTTTTACGAGGGATTGTTCTGATGGCGACTTTTTAAAAAAGTACTTTTTCTGCAAAAACCCCGTGAAAGTTTCCATAACTCGGGCATTCAACTTTCAACTTGCACGTAATTTTTATCGCGCCATCAACATTTCTCCTTTCTATCTGCTTTGTAACTTCTATCTCAGTAATTTTACATACGAAAGAGCTAAGCCATAATTTCCAAACGCTAGCTCTTAGCTCTAAGAAGTGGAAATCTAGCATCTTATTTTGACTTGCTCAAAGTAACATTTTGGCCACCGAACTTTTAACAATTGTTTCATAAGTCAGCGTGCGTTCATCGAGTTATGAAGCACGCGGGAAGTTTGGAGAGCACGAAAGATGCGTAAGAGTTTTCTCGAGGGATTTGTTTGCTGACGTCATGAGCGTGCACAATAGGAATATGAAACACGCTCGCTCAATTGAATTTGATTAGACAAATTTACTGGCTATGTTATAATGAAGAAATGTAAAATGGTTTCCGTGTTTACATAGCTTGATGTAAACACGCGAGAGGTTGGGAGAACACGAGATAAGCGTAGGAAACCACCACGCGAAGCTTATCGAGTGTTCTCCCAACCTCCCAAGTGTTTACATCGGGCTATGTAAACACGGAAACCATTTTATATTTCTACTATAAAATAACTAATGAAAGAGGAACGAAAACCGTGTTTACATACGCTCATGTAAAATGGTTTTATGGCCAATCAGAGCGCGCGTACTATTTAAATTATCTTATAATTAATATTGCCTCATGTAACGTTATTACAAAAAAAAAAGACATCCCCTACCTAGTGAAGTTATCTTGTTCAGTTTTAGAAGTGGTCTGCCTCAAAATACGAAAGTCTTAATACTTAATACATCTTATATACACTTTAGATCAAGTAAAATGCTGTGCGCACACTCGCCTAATATTCAACGCCTGATACATCACTTTTCCAAGCGTAAGTTAAAACATGACTAATTTGACATGAACAATGGAAAAAGTTGTCATAATGGCCAATTTAAAACTTCAAATAAACAGTAATAATCCCTTTTATCATCACTTTGTTTTTGACAGTCGATTATTGGAACAATACTAACAAACTAAGTTTACCTTTTCTCACATCTTTTGTTTAACAATTGCACGCCTCCCTTTCGTAATCGTAACTCTTCTTAACAAAGCAGACAGAATTTTTAAAAATTCATTTCCAAAAAGTTACATTAAAGTCCCCCGTCCCCCAACAATGTTGAAATACAAGTTTGATCATTATGCTAACCCCAGGAATGTTGTCACTCATTGTCACCCCAGAAATGATTGTCACATGACAATCTAATGACTAATTTCCTCGGGAAACTCCCTCATTTATTACATCATCAACTTCCTGTTTTTGTGTCACCCAATGGGCAAATACCGTGAGATCATATCGCTATTTTCCTATAGTATTCCAACGCTTTGTGATTAAAAAAGGATTTCATAAAATGATTCCACTGAATGATTTTATCAGATAATTTTATCAAATGATTCCATCAAATGATCTCATCAAATAATTCCATCATATAGAAAGTAGTATAGAGGGTTGGCATTTTGTACAAGATCACTTTTTCAAAGTGCTTTGGTACCGCAAACTACTTTACTATATAAACACAAGTAAAGAGAAATTGAAGTAGATGTCAGAGGCTATTCATGTGTTTATAAGTTGGCGTTTGTTATAACTTCCTCGCTTATCATCGAGTCTCGCTGAAATCAAGTGGTATTCAAGACAGTGTGAGAAGACGAAAGCGATGAAATTTTTTGCGCTCATCTTTCTGGTTTGTCTCGCAATTGGCGCTGATGCTCGCAAGAAAAAGAAACTTTTCCGCCGAATATTGGACAAGTTGTCAGATCTTGAGGACCTGATTAAGAAGAAACAGGCCTGCTATCCGCCAAGTAAGATGTAGAAGATCTTTTTTTGTCGTTTTAACGTTACTTTTACATCACCGCTTTTTTGGTCCGTCGGTTCTGAATTTCGGCTGGATTAAAAGTTATTGTTAACATAATTTGGAATTATGGTAGTTACCCAGTTATGATCGATTGCCTGATAGTTTTTCTCATCTCTTCAGAGCCAACACCCGCAAGTTCCTGCAAAGAAATATATGAAAAAGACTGGTAAGGAACGTACGATCGTTAAATTTGTGCCTGAACGAGGGTGGGTGGCAAACAAACATATCGCGAAAATCATTCTACAAAAAATTGCGCACTGGAGGAAAAAAAATATACAAAGCTAAAAGCGCAAAAAAAGAAAAATAAATAAAAAATAATTTATGCAAGTTGAGAATTCCACATCTCTTCCCCTTTACATGTAAGGATCAGTGTGAGTGATTTGAGAGAGTGTAAACTCGGCTGGATTTGTAAGGTTTCTTCTCTAATATCGTGATGGTGCGGATCTGGGCTCCTGTTTGGCTACACATCAAGAGTACAGTTTAAATACCTAAATAGCCTTGTAACAAGCCTTCACCCGTTGGAAATTGTGACATGTCTCCGTCCTGTTAACCCTGATTTTGTTTATCTCAGTATTATTCTCGCTGACCGTAATAGCGCTGAGCCAAGACTTCCCCGCGTATTCTTTGCGATGTCACGCAGTGCTGCTTCTTTTTTGCGTCTCGTGACATTCCAAAGAACTACCTCGTAGGATTCAAAGAATATAACACTCTGATGCTCTCTCATTAGTGCCAGCCCGAACAAGGCGTTTAACCTCAACCTTGGGAATAAATATCTGTCTGTGTATTGTTCCATGGATGGGGAGCTTGGAGACTGCGGTGGTGGGGGATGGACGCTGGTCATGAAGATTGACGGTGCAAAGGTACAGTGGAACCCCTCTAAACTGGAAACCCTTGGGACCGTAGTTTTTCAAGAATGTCGAATGAAAACTTTGACTCGTTTCTTTCACTCCTGTTTGCTTCCCTTTGTCTCTTTTAAGTCAGTGAATGTTCTATAGATCATATTAAAGGGCCACGCTCAACCAGCATGCAATACGGGCGTAGTGGACACTCTCAGTATTTTCAGGCGCGAGTTTGATGAAGCACTCATAGAGCGAAGTGAAGCAAAACTGGTGTAATCCCGGATTGCTTTAGACACTAACTTAAAAATTGCCTCATCTTGCAGCACAACTTCAACTACGATTCAAAAGCGTGGTCTTCCAGGTCTTCAGTGTTCCCCGAAAATGGAGACACGGGGTTGGCTCACTTTGAGACCCTGTTACCAACGTACTGGAGCACGTCCTTTACCAAGATCTGTCTCGGCATGAAGGTCGATGGAGCAACCAGGTTCTTGCGAGTGAATAGGGCAGCAGCCTCACTGTATGCCCTCATTGCTGATGGTCAGTACCGTGCAACCTCCCTGGGTCGCGATGCATGGAAGGGACTGGTTGGTCCCAAAGCCTCCCTCCAGCGCAACTGTAATCGAGAAGGGTTCAATACGCGGGGAACTTTAGGTACTCGTGCTAAGATGCGAATTGGTATCATCGCTAACGAGCAAAATGATTGTAATTCCCCTGATTCCAGAATCGGGTTTGGTGGATGGGGACCGGTAGCCGAAGTCCCGTGTGGAAACGTAGCCAGGCACGGCGGGGACAACGGAGACCAAACCATCAGAGCCTTCGGATACATCTTCGTTCAGTAAAGACACTGAACAGCTCTTCTCAAGGAAAAAGCTGCACGATATAAAGCATGCTCTTATCTCAGTAATGAATCAAAATGATGCCTCTAAATTTGTATGTTGTAGTTACTCGAAGGAGAATCTATCATGTTGGTGTATAACTTTTACTCCCTCAAAGAAGTTGCTTTCCTTAAATCCTATCAATACACTGTCTTTATGGGAGCCTTTTTTTCTCTTGTCACATAATTCGTTCAGCAAGGGCCAAATTCAAAAAACTAAAATTACACAAAATAAATGGCAGAAAAATGACAGACCTCTCGTTATTTATCGCCTGAAGGAGAGGGGCTGGGGTCCTCAGACCGAAAGATACAAAAGCAATGAATATACTCACCATATCTTTGATTCATCCACTATGTCGTCGAATAGACGCCTAACTCGACCGACTTCCGTAATCGTCCTGCAGTCCCGTATCCTTTTTATGGGCACAATCAGTAAACAAGCGACAAAACAGTTAGGACCTGATTTGTTTTTCCTGCGCTTCTTGTGAAGCAAAAATAATTTCTTTTCTCAAAATTTCCTTATAACATAATTTCTCAGTGTGTATTTGCCATCCTCCTTGGCCCCACACTAGTTCCTTATTTTGTCAGAGACTGGGCCCCAACGTAATTAAGTTTTGATTGACACTTCACGCAAGTTATCGTGCATGTCGCTTTTGAGGGGATGTTTTTTCTTAGAAGAAGGTGCAAAAAAGCATTGAGTGAAATGGAACAAAAAAATTTAAACTAGGAATAGTGTTTTCAAAGCCCTTCATGCTGGAGGGCCGGGGAGGAATAGATCAATTTATTTTCTATCTTCTTTGGTGACATTTATGAAGAATTTCATTAAAAAAAAACTTATCACCTATAATATATTAGAAATTACGACAAATACGCAAATTTGTAGAGTAATGATGGATTTATTGGATGAGATGTCTACTGAAAAGACAACGTTGTGAAAGGAAAAGGATAAACAGTTTTATTTTCATCAAATAACAACCAAAAGTAATGTATACTTTGTTACAGTTGAATGCAAGATTAAAGAGCAGAAAAAATAGCCGCCGAATACAAGCAACATGAGCTTAAGAGAAAAAAGGTCCAAAAAAGTCCAAAAAATTTTTGTCCAAAAAATTGCCTTCATTGAGATCACCCATTTTCAACGGCCCACCTCTAGAGTTTCGCATACGCGCCTGACTATCGCTTTTGACATCGGTCGCCTAGCAGGAATATTTTGTGCCGGTGAAAAACATAAATTGAACTTGACATTCATTGAACACGCAACTTTGTGAAAGGAAAATGTTAAACATTTTTATTTTTATGAAATAACAACCAAAAATAACGTGAACTCTGTTTCAATCGAATGCAAAAATCGTCGCACGTGACGGAACATCGAATGCTCGAAATACATGGTAATAGTGCGTACAAGAATATTCATATTTAGAAACAAATTACAAGAAACTGAAAACTTATTGACGAAATTGATATCTAGCTCACGTTGAAGTTCAAGTTCCGTCATAAACATTAATTATCACGTTTTAAACATTCATGATCCGTAGGGAACGAACGGATCGTTAAAATGTCATGGCCAAAGCTTTAATGAAATTCACGGATCGTCAACACAGCCTTACGAGTCGTGAATATATTTGACGCACCATGGTACTGGACATGCGTGACCGAGGAGAGAGAAAATTGCGCGTCATCAATTTAATTTCTGACCACTTTTTCGTATATTAACAGGAAATAAACTAATTTTGTTATTGTTGTGTGGTAAATACTTAAACAATTATGCACCTCAGAGTCGGTGAAAGTCCTAGATATCTATCTCGCCTCTTCGCACCTCGGTTAATAATATCCAATTCCATTCACCTCCACTTCGGTAAATAAATAACTCACCTGCATTTTTACTTGCACTGTGAATTGATTAATAACGGTAATAGGACTGAGTGGGTCTGTAATCATACGGGTGATTAACCAAATCGGACTTTGACTGTAGACCAAATTGGACGACACGAAGTCCCGTTACCATTATAAATCGGGCAGGCGATAATCAATCACGCTCGAGAATTTATAGCTCTAGTTTTAATTAATTGCCTAACAATATCTTCAGGGCCAACTACACCTGCAAGTTCCTCGAAAGAAATATGCGACAAGGACAGGCAAGGAACGAGTGTGGGGTCAGGGCGGGCTGGCAAATACACACTGAGAAATTTTTACATGGAAATTGTGCAAAAGAGATGATTTTTACAAAGCAAGAAGCGCAGAAAAAAACAAATCAGGCTCTAACTGTGTTTGTCGCTTGTTTACTGATTGAGCTCGTAAAAAGGAAATGAGACTGTAGGACGATTACGGAAGTCGGTCGAGTTAGGTGCTTATTCGACGAGATACTGGATGAATCAAAGGTATGGTAAATATATACATTGTTTCTGTATTTTTTTGGTCTGGGGACACCCCCTTCCCTCCCATAGGCAATAAATAACAAAAGATCTCTTATTCTCTGTCATTTATTTTGTGTAATTTTAGTTTTTAGAATTTGGCCCTTACTGAACGAATTATGTTGTCAAGAGAGGAAAAGCACTCATAAAGACAGTATGTTGATATGGTTTAAGGAAAAGTAACTTCTCGGAGGGAGTGAAAGTTATACACCTAAAAGATAGATTCTTCTACAACTCAACTCAAAAATAGAAGAGACAATATTTCAATTCATTAACCCACTTTTATTGTTCGTTTATTTCATAGCAGAAGCGAAACCCGACGTCTTAAATCCCCATTACTGAAATAAGAGCTTGCTCCATGTCGCATGCAACTTTTTCCTTAAGCAGAGCAGTTCAGCGTCTTTACTGAACGAAGATGTATCCAAATGCCTTGATATTTTTGTCTCCGTTGTCTGGACCCCACGAGGCTCCGTTTCCACACGCGTTTTTGAATCCTGACCCTCCTCCACCAAATCCGATAAAGGAATCAGGGGTATGACAATCTCCTTCTTGATTAGCGATGATTCCAATTCGAACCCGAGATTGAACGCTATTACTCACCCGCGAATTGAAGCCTTCTTGATTACAGCTGCGCTGGAGGGAGGCGTTGGGACCAATCAGCTTCTTCCATGCATCACGACCCAGCGAGGTAGCACGGTATTGACTGTCACCAATGAGGGCATACAACGAGTCTGCTTTCTGATGCAGTGGCAAGAACCTGGTTACTCCATCGACCTTCATGCCAAGGCAGATCTTGGAAAAGGACGTGCTCCAGTAGGTTGGTAACAGGGTCTCCAGGTGATCCAATCCGGTATCTCCATTTTCGGGAGAGACTGAAGACATTGAAGACCACACTTTTGAATCGTAACCAAAGGTTTGCTGCGAGAAAAATGAAATTTTCAACTTAGTATCCAGTGCATTGGAGAAAAGGCAATTTTCAACCTAATGTCTATAGTAATCCGGGACTGCACCAGTATCGCTTCTCTTTGCTCTATGAGTGCTCATCAAACTCGCGCCAATCTCTCACCAGGTCAGGTGCCTCAATAGACGAATTTTCAACTGAATGTCGAAAGTAATCAGAGATTTCATTGGTTTTGCTTTACCTCGAATTGTGATTGTCCAGAAATTAAAACTCGTGCCACTCAACCGATCAGATGTAAAACTAACACTAAACACGTTTTGGTCGCCTGCGTTTTCCCGCGCTTTAGGCATGTTTGGTTGTTTTTACTATGAGTTTTCATTGGCTGTCCGGGAAATTTTTTTTCTTTTGATTGGCCGTTGTGATTACTTTGGTTTCGGTCTTACGACACTGAAAAACTAAACTGAATCGCTCATAATGGACGACGTTTCCGGTCTGTATAACAGAATCAAAGGCAAAATTGAAGAATTTGTAAGACGGCCAAACAGCTACGTTGAACCACGATCAAGACAATACATATTATCTTGCCACGATGCAATCACTATTCACGGCTGAAATATCAGACTCAGAAGTTATATACTTGACAAAAGTGTACAAAAGCAAGAGATTTAACAGGGACTTGATCCTAGACGTCGAAACGTATTGCAAAGAGACGGAGACCTTCGAATTCTTAAATATATTTATTCGTGTCAGTGAAACGCCGGTGTCATTCACAAGGCGCAAAAACAGGATTCGTAAAAGAAGTGCTTCGCCTCCTACGAATAAATTCGTCACGCTCCACTTTTAATAAAAACATTCAGTGTTTCAAAATACGCTTAAATAATAAAGAATAATGAGAGGAAATTTTGGAGAAATGCATCTCTGAATTTGATCTAACCGGGAGGGAAAGGTTACTCAAAAACTTCCACGGAATTAGACTTGCGATGGATTATAAATGTTTCCCCGTTTGACGGTCTTTCAAGCGCCGAGAGGAACCTTCTGTTTGATTTTCCTGCGAAATGCTGTGTAGCAGGGCCTCAAAGGACTCGCTGTTTGTTTTCTTGCCTTATCCCAAGGCTTTTAGAATTGATCTAACAAACCATATAATATGGTGGCTTTCCATTGTGCAGGATGGCCTCTTTTCGATGGCTTTATTTTCGCAAACGCGGAATCAAACGACAGAAATATGTAGAAAATAGACGATAGACACTTGACGAAACTAGATGAGGGTATTAAAAGCCGGTTCTCGATCATGGTTGCATAGTGTTAGTCGGACAATATCACACACACACGGTAGACTATCCTTTTCTGTAAGTACAGATGATAAAATGATTTGGAGTGCAATTTGGTATTGGTAAGCACGAGGAAATTTTTCAAAGACAAGAAAATTGCACGAGCCCGCAGGTCAAGTGAAATTTGTAGTCTTTGAAAAATTTTCAAGTGCTTATCACGACAAATAGCAAGACAAACCATGTTACTGCTTTTAATAATGTACATGAAAAAGAACATCAAAGAAGTCAAGACAGACGAACTTTTAAAGCGTGCACGCGCTATTTGTAATTTGCATTCTTGTTACAACTTTGCACTCGTGTTACATGAGATGCATTTTTTTTCAGCCAA